TGGAAAATTTTTGTCACAACTTCGTTTTGCAGACGACATTGTCATTATTTTAAAAAGTGCCCATAAAGCAGGGACGATGCTGAAGGAATTAAGCGAAGCGGGATAGACGATGTCTTCTCAAATTCATACGGCGCACACAACATCTAGCCGGCTTGCGCAGCTCAGATCTTCGGAGTATATCCCATCTTCGTGACCCAGAGGTCTACACATCTATAGCGAAGCATGGAAGGGCCGGTCATATACTGAGAAGAACGGACGACAGATGGACGAAAAGAACTGTAGAGTAGATTGCACGAGAACATAAGTGTCCTTGAGGACGACCACTTACACGTTAGGCTGACGCGTTCGTTAGAAGAATTAAGGAGCTGTACCCGCAGCTCTCAGAGGGACGAATGGAATATGTGCTGGGGTCCGCACAATTAGTGAAGACGGACTGTTCAAGTACCAAACATCAAGTAAGTACGCCGGCAAGAATTCTCCGACTTAGATATTGAATTGTGTCTTGTCCTATTCTCGAATAACACACCAAAAACACAATTAGCAGTGTTGAATCATTGCCTTACGAGAAGCGTCGTTATCAATGAAAGATTTTTAATTGTTCCAATGACAAGAAATAGTGAATAGTCGGATAGATTGCTTACTATAAGAAGGCAGTGCTCCGATCTTTTTAGCTAGTCTTTCTAATACATTTTCAAATATGAGATCACATACTCAAAATTTATGACCGTTTCACGAATACAGCATAACTTTTCTGGACAAACTATGCACAGCGAATTCCTATTGCCTGCGCTTTACAGGAAATCAAAATAAAAAATAAAGTGATTTGTATAAACATCCATATTGATGAGAAATTTGGAAGTATGAGGAAGTGCAAGGAATTCTCTTTTCAATGTTATCTCACTCGCTTTCAACTCCGTCACTTTCAAATCTCGATGCATCGGCATTTCACCATAGTGTAGAATTTTGTGACTCAAGACAAACAAGATACGATACTGTAGGTCATTTCACCATAGATAATTCTACAATGGCTTCCTTTTCAATTCCTCATATCAGTGGCATCTTTTTCTCTGTGTTTTTTGGTTTGGTGATCGATTACCCTAGCCGTCAACAATGAATATTTGTTAGGCCTACCAAATGTGAGAGGATAATAACAACATCAAAGCTTAGGCATGGCGAATTCTGCTCAATAAGAAAATTGTCATCGGAAGTTCCATTACGTTCTTCTGAATTGATATCTGATCCAGAACTATCTAGAAGTGCATTTTTTGAGAACGAATGTCCAATCTCCGGGAAAAATCGCGGTTGACGTTGCACCAGTAGAAATGGTAAGGCGGGAAACGGATTCAAGTCGTTTACTTGAGAATGGGCACACTCACTGCAATATCTGTTCGAACAGTCCTTTCCAGTCATGTTACTGTCATCCAATATTTCACATACATTCCACCTTTAACCTACTCCTCTATGCCTTGTAATAATGGAATCAGTGAGAAAACTTACTTCGGATTATTTTGGCTTGAATTAGGCAACTTGAGACAATTAGAACTTTTCGAAAAGCCAAGGAACTGTCAATGCATCGTCACCCACTTATATACTGTGTCAAGCTCATTGCTGCCTTGTATATGTTCTGATGCTGAAAGCAAATTGTGTTTTTAGTCGACTTTGCCACTTTGACTGAATTTTCAGAAAACAAAAATGAACGTTTTCACAAACATGGCGAGATATATGATGGGCTACCTTGTGATGTTGATGCTGGCAACAATCTCGACAGTTTTTGGATGTGGAGTGATGCCTGCAGGTCAAGGTAATTAGGAGAAGATTATTGAGGGATCCGAATATTTCTAGTTAGATGATAGCCCATAAATTCAAAATACAGTGGATGGATAAATTATTAGAGAATTTTACAAAATAAAAGTAGTGCAAGTTCCCATAGGAAATCATTTTTAATAGTGATTTGATTCTCAATCGTTCATTGCAATTGCTGGGAAATTTCGTTACAGCAAGCACTAGGACATTCACTGTAACGGGTTTCACAACCTTACCTGTTACTATGGTTTACACCAGCGTAGTCAATTCCGTTGGGCATCCCGGTATTGCAACTAGCGAGGCAGGAGCTAGGGGATTCGTAGAGCGTCTCGTGATGCAAACAGTGAGTTAATCTTTAAGTTTCGTGCATCGTTTGCGAATTCTGGAAGAAAGTAGGAGATGAGCTGCATTTTAACAATAGTTCAAGCTCTTAGCTCTTCCATTACTCAAGAGCCTCATGCAATCTGATTGAGAACACTTCAATAGGAGCGCTATTGACCGGCGAGAAATTTAATTTTTCAGGTCATTGACGTTCAAGAAAGCCAAGGTCGTGGTGCTCTCTTACCTGATGCTGTAATCTCGGCCATTTTGAGTCAACTCAGTGTTCAGATCAGCTACAAACCACTTAATTGCCAGATGGTTGTTAGCTTAGGGTATACGTGTGATTCTACAGTATATAACAAGCATTTGAAGGAATGCGTGTAAAAGTGTAAAAATCATAAAATGAGAACCAAAGTTCTGTTGATCACTCTAAAAAAAATAAGCAAACACTGTGATACTGATGAGATTGGAATGCTGAAACAGGTGTCTTGCACTGTATAAGTGCCACAAAAGACCTCGTGTTAGGCTCAAGATATTTTATCAGATTATTACTGTTTTGAGCGAGGTCTATAAAAGCAGTTCAAAGTATATATCACCGGAGAGTCACTAGAAATATGTTCTAAATCTACCATAACCTACTCGCATTGAAGCCACCAAGTCGGTACTATTTTGTGGACGAGTGTTTTAAGACTTTAGTCGAATACCGTGGCATTTCATGTGTAAGGTGATGATTTTGAAAACTTTAAATAGAAGAAGAAAACTTGTCCTCGAAACTGTCCTTATCTGTCTCAGCTTTCTGCTATATCAGAAAATATGTTCTTCTGAAAGCCATAGTGTTTTGTAGTGGAAATGAAGGATGTGAATATGGTGAACTGCATTGTCGTCAGCAACACGGTGACGAGAATTTGCAGTGGAATGAGAGGTAAAAAATGTATGCCAGGAGATCCACAAGTTGCGGATATAACAGCTATTCCCAACGAACACTTGACTATATCAGGAACTCTCTCGGTATAATTTATCTGCTTTTGTAGAACATCACTATGTGAAGATAAACAATCTACGTAGACCACAAACATCGTCATGGCGAGTTGGTCGAATGCAATATGGCGAAGAGTGGTAAGGAGAGCGGTTGGAATGCTAGCATCTGGTCCATTTGGATCGCACTTCTTTTCGGCAGTGGTCACGGTTGGCGGAAATTGAAACAACTTGTGATAAGTCTAAAACAAATGTTTGTAAATGATTAAGATTTATTGTAGCATTACAGCACCAATAAAACTGGCATGACACATGAGTGTTAATTAGTCAAAAGAATATTGCAGTCAATAACACTTGAGTGTACAATGCTATAATTTAGACTTCATATCTTCTTAGAAAAGTAGACGAGAGATTTACAGTAATTAAGTTATAAAAGAAACTTCTTTACTCACGACTCGGGAAAATGTTATTTCATGACTAACCATAAGAACTGAGTTTGAGTACGGTCACAAGTATAAAAATCGTGGAAGATTTAGAACAAGTGACTAGGGTGAAATCTACTGTGACAGCTCTTCTATCTGAATTAGATATCCACTCATCCGCCCATAAAAAGTGGCTATAGATGAAAATATGAAGTCAACCAAATGACACCAAGAATTGAGTATTTCTTGAATTTACGTATTTGAGCACATGAGAGAAATTTAGGGGGCGTGATCAGGCCAAGAAGGCTTATATAATCTTCTGTGAGAGCAACGAAAAGATAGCGTTTTCCCTTCAATGTTTCCTTTGTACATAAAAGTTACACTTGCGTCAAAATCTTATGAGAGTGTAGAGGAAGTCGTAGGATATCAGAATATTTCTAAAACCAGAACTGTTCTGCAACGGAAAGAAATTTTAAACCGAATAATGAAATTCATAGCTTCACAAGATGGAAGTTGAAGTCGCTTTGCCAACGCGATTCAAGAAATGCGCAAATATCCTATGTAATTTGAAAGACAAACTTTCAAACAACCTCAACAAATAATCGATCGATGTAACTTTTAGATGCTTATCTTTTTAGCCCATGTGAGGCTGATAAATGTAGCTAGAGTATCAGTAGTGATAGTAGTACAGTTCGTAACCTGAAATATCCGCGAGCCCGCTTTCTTTAGAGCCTGTCCGACAAAGCCCACTTAGGCTCGGAGAATGTGAGGTCGCTAAAACGTCAGAGAATAAACTCTATTTCTATCACTGCTTTTACTACAATGATATTTCGTTATTTGACTGATACCTATTCTCTGGTCAAGAAGTGTTGAAATTTACGCACTACATGAAAAAGATTCTATTTTGTCCTTTCATAGCTATTAGCCTTCTGCTTTCATTTTATACTGCTCTTTAAACTCTCTATGGAGTTTAAGCAACGAGGTAGTAAACGCAAAGAAAAAACGTAATCGTATTTCCTCTCAAACACCAAACTGCAAGAACGTTTGCAAAACTATTAAGACAGAAGCTATTGAATAATTATTGAAGATTTACCCCAAAATCTGGCATGAACATTGGCGAAGCAAATCATATACTCCAAACGAAAGAAGTAATTCTTTTCTGCGTCGCTACAACATTTCAAAGAGGCTTTTCCAGAGCGAGTGTTAGGTGAACTGGTTTTTTACAACTGAATTGGATGTATATAAAGTTTTTTAATATCATATTTCCTCACATTGACACGAATTGTCTATCTGCAGTTTTTAGGTATACTGCAGTGAAGGAACCCCATCCGAAAGGGTGTTTTTGTACATTACTCTGAGCTGAAAATGCGTTTCCTGGTCTAACCCAACCTACATTCCCACTCCAACCAAACCTTTTAAGGACTAGTGGCTGACAATATCATAAAGATATTGAAGAATGACTGGTGGTATCGGCAAATGTGCTGCCGGTGTGTAGTGGTAGCACGCGTCCCCAGTATGGATGGAAAGCGGGTTCGACTCCCGCCCGAGGTGGCATTTCTGCTCACCACTTATATATATATTCCAAGCAAGTACAACCCCGAGCGATTGAGTAGCTGAAATGACAAAATAAGCTCGGCTGATCTTTGCACTGTGTTTGTTTTCAAATAAAAATTAACAATGATTCAATTTTTTTGTGAACAGGCACAAGGTTGTAAACTGCAAGATCTATTCCATAAATTTTTATATTACTAAGTTGACACGAGCCTGCTGCAGAAATATTTATTCGGTTATTATAATCTGAGAACATATCTTAAGCCTTTCAAGAGGTCTGTTATGGCACCTATAAAGTGCTAGGCACGTGTCTCGGCATTACAACCTCATCACTAGCACAATGCCTTTCGGTAGTTTGTTGTAAGCAGGGGTGCTCACCGAGTGCGCAGCCTAATTCTTTCGACAGTTACAGCGCTCTCAGAAATCCTTTCAGAACACCAACTATATCGCTAAAATCGGTAAGATTTGTCCCATCCAATCTTACAAATCTGATTTTAAAAAATTCTTTCCGGCGAGAATTGCCCGAATATGAAACAAAATTTTTTAAAACTGTTGCAGCGCCGAAAACAAGCTATTTGAGAAATTAATTTGCCTTTTAATTTCATTTGATCTGAGCTATCGAATACTACTTACAGCTCAAATGAAAGCAAAAAACACGTTATTACCGAAGACCTCAAATGGGGTGGAGATAACAGAAAAGTACCGATTAACCTGAGCGAACATTATCCTTAAAACTCGAGCAGCTAGAACCACAAAATGAGGCCAAGCGACGCTTTGCGTTGCATCATTTTTGGAAAAAGCATTAGTAGTCCAATTTTCCTGCTAGGCAGAAAACAATATTGGTGCAAAAGTATTCATTTAGCTAGCATGTCGACGGGCTCAAGTTATCTTAGCCTATCATGAGGTCCACTATGGCACTTGTAAGGTGTTAAACACGTGTTTCGGCGATTCAACCTCATTAATAGCACGATGTCTTTCTGTTCAGTCAGTTCCTTGCAGAGCGATATCACCTACATGGGGAATCGACGGCGATTTTTTTACACACGACGTACGGTGAGAGGATCATTCAAAAGTTCGACTTTCTATAAACCTCGGCATAATCAATTGATATATGAAAATGGAGAAAACTTATCTTGATTAGCTGACGCGAGGTTGATAAAACAGTTGTAGAAATTCGGCTGACGTTTCGGCGACCCGCCTTCTTCAGAGCCTGGACGAATATAGTATTAGTCTATTTGAATGATCGGATGGTCTTATTTATATGCTGCCTAGGTCACGTTAGAAGATCAAACGAAGAAAGGGCGCGAGATCTCGCGTGATGGTGACGCACTCGTCCTTCCGATTCATTTCGGGGTTTTGGGCGTTTATCCAAAATGCCTCAAGAGTCTTGCGCGTGGACGTTTTTGATTCCTGCGCCAGGATTGTGACAGTCACATCAAAATCCTTATTGTTGTGTTTTTGTGCCCTATGTAAACCTAAAGGTTTGGTTTTATCTATTTTAGATTTACTGTCTAGATGTTCTTTTATGCGGACGAAAAGTGGTCTTCCCGTTTCGCCTATATATTCTTCCCCGCATGTTTTACATGTTAGCAAATAAATTGTGCCTGATCTCATACAATCTCCCTCTTTTCCGTTGGGGCAGATCATACAGTTGTTGGTGTTGCACAATCGATCATAGAGTCTATTGCGGATCAGCTGATGGCGTAGGGTGGGAGGTGGGGTTTCGATAATTACCACGGAATTTTCAAGACCGCATCTTTTCAGGCACCTTTTAACCGCGCTACTAATCTCGTTTGATATAAATGGTAATTTGAAGGGGACTCTATTTAGGTGCGGAGTATTGTTCTTTTGTGACCTAATTCCACTTTTTGAATATTCCCTAGTGGCAAATGTTTTGTAGCCGTTGGAAATGGCGATCTTTCGTGCCAAGTCTAATGATTCGTTCCTTTCCTCCTCTCCTGTGCACACACTTTTAGCTGTTCGAAACATGTTTTTAATTAGCGATTTTTTCATGTGTGAAGGATGAGAGGAGAGGTAATTGACCAAAATGTTCTTGTTACTTGGTTTTCGATACCACTTTGTACTATAGCCACTATCCAAAAGCTTTACTTGGGTATTTAGGAATGGAAGCCAGCCCCCGTTTGGACTTTCTCGCGTAAATCTGATATGCTCTGACTGTCCGTTCAACACTTCAAAACATTTGTCCATTTCCTCTTGTGTGGAACAGACAATGAAACAGTCATCTATATATCGGCAGTAGAGCAATGGGCGGTGAACGAGAATTGGAGCTTCCACCTTATACATAAAAGCGATGGCAAGACTAGGTGCTAAGCGTTGACCCATGGCTAACCCCCTGAGTTGTGTAAAGTATTTTCCCGACCACCGAAAGATTGAACAACTAAGACATTGTTTTAGGAGGGTCATTAGTTGTTGAATTGTGAAGCCATACATGTTTACTTTTTGTTCATTTTCAGTTAAATGTTCGAAAATGGCTTGCATTGCAGAGTCATTTGATACGTTTGTATAGAGTGAGCTAACATCAAATGACTCCATTACGTGCGAGTTGTTAGGTTTCGCGCAACGTAGGTGGTCAAGGAACATTTTTGTATTGGGTAGGTGGGTTGGTATGAATTTGAGCACCTGAGTAAAAATGAGGTTTAGAAACCACGTTATTCTATCCGTTGGTCCGCCTATACAACTGATGATGGGTCTAACCTTGTATGTTGATGGATCGGTTGACACTAGATCATCAATAGATGTAAGTTTATGTGTTTTTACGAGAAGGTATAGGACCGGACAAATAGGATTATTGTTTTTGAGTCGAGAAATAACTGAAGTTTCCAAACCCGCTGCACTTGCCGTGTTGACCCATTCTTTGTTTAATTTTTTACATTGGAGTTTATATTCTTTCTCAGAGGATGGGCGATAGAGGGAGACATCCTGAAGATGTTTCTCCGTTATATCGACATCCAGCTGATTTGAAATTACTACAAATTCCCCACCTTTATCACTTACGGACAAACGGATAGTTTTTGATCTTACGAGCTCCCTGATTTGTGACAAACCTTGTTTTTGTTTGTGTGTCAGATTGGAGCTTATTTTTCTATGCCGAAAGTGGTTGAGTATTTGCAGAATTTCGTTCGAAAAAACGCGAAAAGTAGGGTCGAGTTCGCTGTTTGGTTTTTCTTCCTTGTAAAAAGCTTGTGGGAAGGGAATGGGTGGTAGTGTCCCTGGTTGTTTTTCATTACCTAACCCTTCTAATCTAGCCTTGTAGCGCAGTTGATTTTGAAGTTCTTGTAGACTGCATACGATCCTGCGCAGGGTTAATTTAGAAATGGGTTGACTGGGTGCAAAACTTGGACCCAAATCTAATAATGAGCGCGCCTCATCCGGAAGCGTTACACCACCTAACACAGTAACTCTTGATCTCTCTAAAGCGCCTTGATTTTCGATTTATCGATGTTGATACGGAAATCGACTCTTTTACGTCTTGATTTTGATTGAAGGCAGTCAAACTTTCTTTTTAGATTATTTTTGGCATTGCGCCGGATATCATTACAAATAGCTATTGACTCGTTTACTATTCTCCCCCAAAGGCGTTTCTCCAGATACTGAGCACAATAATGTTCTTTTGACATACATTTGTTTATGTAGGAGAACATTTCGTTTTGGACGCATCTTAAAGAGATGCGCAGTAGTTGCGAATCATTAGACTTGGCACGAAAGATCGCCATTTCCAACGGCTACAAAACATTTGCCACTAGGGAATATTCAAAAAGTGGAATTAGGTCACAAAAGAACAATACTCCGCACCTGAATAGAGTCTCCTTCAAATTACCATTTATATCAAACGAGATTAGTAGCGCGGTTAAAAGGTGCCTGAAAAGATGCGGTCTTGAAAATTCCGTGGTAATTATCGAAACCCCACCTCCCACCCTACGCCATCAGCTGATCCGCAATAGACTCTATGATCGATTGTGCAACACCAACAACTGTATGATCTGCCCCAACGGAAAAGAGGGAGATTGTATGAGATCAGGCACAATTTATTTGCTAACATGTAAAACATGCGGGGAAGAATATATAGGCGAAACGGGAAGACCACTTTTCGTCCGCATAAAAGAACATCTAGACAGTAAATCTAAAATAGATAAAACCAAACCTTTAGGTTTACATAGGGCACAAAAACACAACAACAAGGATTTTGATGTGACTGTCACAATCCTGGCGCAGGAATCAAAAACGTCCACGCGCAAGGACTCTTGAGGCATTTTGGATAAACGCCCAAAACCCCGAAATGAATCGGAAGGACGAGTGCGTCACCATCACGCGAGATCTCGCGCCCTTTCTTCGTTTGATCTTCTAACGTGACCTAGGCAGCATATAAATAAGACCATCCGATCATTCAAATAGACTAATACTATATACGTCCAGGCTCTGAAGAAGGCGGGTCGCCGAAACGTCAGCCGAATTTCTACAACTGTTTTATCAACCTCGCGTCAGCTAATCAAGATAAGTTTTCTGTATGAATAATTTGATGCAGACCCTGAAGCGAGAACGACCCACTGAGCTAC